TAGAGGACACTCCTGGCCAAACGCCCATTGGCCCATTGACTTTGTCATAGTTGGGTAACATTTTACATTCTTACTGGGAACTTGAACCCAATAAGGAATAACAATGTACATTCTTAATCCAATCCCAACAATGAACTAGTTGAGTAGGCGTCCAGGGGCAGATGTTGGCTGAGGGACTCGTGGCTTTGATGTTCCGACCTTGCGTCCGATATCGTAGACCTCCGATTTGGGGGTTTCCGAAAATAGGGGACCCTAATATAGTACCCTAATAGTAGGATCCTTATTATAAGGACCCCCAAAATAAGGTACCCTAATTTTCGGAAACTCCCATTTGGAGGACATGGTCTACTTCTCTGGCGCCGAAGGCTCTGATGCCTACAACAAGGCCGGATAAGAGCCTTCCTTTGTCGGGTTTGGATCCTCCGTGGGCCCCTGTTGCCCCTTTTTGCAGGTACACCCGGATAGGGAAGCTGTCGATATTTAGCCCCTCTACTTTTGTTGAGTTTTGTTGGGTTGTTGAGGAGTGGCCAGACAGGCACGCAGGCTGAAGGAAAGCAGGGGACGGACGAAATGGATAGAGAAAGATCGTGAAGAAGAAAGCAAGAAGCCCTTGCTGAAAGGAACGACAAAGAAGGAATGAACGAAATGTATAATTGAAGGCATACAGAAAGAACGAAATAGCGACATAAAGAACGAACGAAACACATAAGAAATGATAAAAAAACAAATGCCTAAGAACACACATGTTCAAACAGTTACGCGCAGCACGGAAAGAAGCAAGTAACGAACGGAGCATACAAAGACACATCACTTGCCCTTCTTAGCCTTACTCTTGCATTGCCAATCTGTGCCTGGATTTATGTGCTTTACATGTTTTTTATTTAGTTTGCTGTTGGAAACCTCTTAGTCTTAACTTCGGGCACTCCGTATGTGATTACGGTTTCGTGTCCTCCTAGCACAGATCGCCAATTCCAGGGCCAAGGCTCTCGAGGAATCGATGCCCACTTGGAGGTTCATCGGTAGTTGTAAGTGGGGTTATAAGTGGGGTAACTATACTTATAACCCATGTTAGGGGACTTATAACACTTATCACTAACCATGAACCTCCAAGTAAAGGCCCCAAACTGACCCCGGAAATTTTCGTCTGGGGGCCTAAACCCTGCCTTCCTGCCTCGTGCGAGAGTTCGAGACGAATTTCTGGAACCTGAAGCTCGCGCCTGGGACGGAGTTGTTTCGGTCTCCTTCAACCCTCGTCCCAAAGCCCCCCCCCCATCCCTGAAAGCCCTATCACCCCAGCTCTAACACTGCAACCCCTAAACCCTAAACCCTAATGCCAGCCATGCGAGAGGGAAAAAAACCCTAAAGCCTTACAAAGAAAAGCAGGAAAAAACCTTAAGCTTCCAGGCCCGAGCCTTCTCCCAGAAGATCTCCACCGTCGGTGTGGACGGCCGCAACAAGGAACTTGGGCCCTTCTTTCATCAGGGGTACGGTGCTGAAATCAGAGTAGGCCGTAGAAAGGAACCTAGGATATCAGAGGCTATCATTTTAGACCTTGAGTTGTGTTCTGTACGTTTATTTATTCAACTTACATATCATGCTCATTGTGGTCATTATGGTCGATAACAATATTGTTGTCAGTGCTTATTGCTACTAGTACGTAATATAGTTATGGTTGTGGCGATTATTGCTATCGCCACTACGAGTAGGATGACCACTGTTGTTCATAATGACACGTCTCATTTCATAGGCCTTTGTTGTTCGATGTTTCACTAGTTTTGCTTAAGCTGTGAAGTTACCACCCAGAAGTAGAAGTCTGTTGTTCTTTCTTTGCTTTGTCAGTGCAGGTACGAATAGGTCACGAGAACCTCGCCACCACATGCATCTCACCATCGCGATCTCGTTCAGTGCTAGTAGCTGCATCGTTATCGCAAAGATGTCGACTGTGATGATTGCCAACATTGTGGACATCGTCTTCAACATCATTAATAGTACCGTCACCAGCCGCATCACCACCAACATTACCGTCATCGCTGCCACGCAAGCAGTCTGACGGCTGAGCCAGTATGTGTTAGTTGAACAGCACTGACTGGAGGGCATTTGCAAACATGCGCTGTTTGCCAAGTTTCCAAGTCAGAGCCGTGAAAGTATGCTATAGGGAACTGTTGTATACTTTAACTTACTATATTCTACAACATGCTATAGTTATTACCGAAACATATTATGGCGGTCCTTGCGCTGACCGGGCGAGCCTTTACAAGCGCAACCGACCGGCGACCTCCTTGGTCCGCGAGCGTGGCAGTTTTGAGGCTGTCGACCCAGACGGCAGACCCTCTCTCTCCCCCCCTCTCCCTCTCTCTCTCTCTCTCTCTCTCTCTCTCTCTCTCTCTCTCTCTCTCTCTCCAGCTCTCCAGCTCTCCAGCTCTCCAGCTCTCTCTTTCTGTCTCTCTTTCTACCTGTGCGTGTATATATATATATATATATAAATAAATAAATAAATAAATATATCAATATATATATATATATATGTATGTGTATATTTACGCCTACACATGTACATTTCTATATCTTATTTACAGATATCTATACATCCTGACTGAATCCTGAGGCCATGTTTCTCGTACCGAGCCCATAGTAGAACCCTTAAAGAAGCCTTGGGAAGCCCGAACAGAATGCTCGAAGACCCCAGAGCATGTAGCAGACCCCCTAAAGTCGCCCAAAACCCAAGGTTCTCATCGAATCTATAGGATTCTTGCAGAAATTCACTTTCAGAGCCCTTTAGAAGTCTTATAAGATCAACACCTTGCAGAATTCCCATAAGATTAACTCCTTCAAAGAATCTTCAAAGCATCAAAGACGCCCCTCAATTCCCTCCGCTCCCTCCGACAGAGATTCAAGGAGTGGGGACGCGCCAGCCAAGACTTCGAGGCTGCCAAGGCGGGCCTTCTTAGAGTTTGGGAGTTTAGGGAGTTTAGTTGGGTTTAGGGTTTAGGGTTTAGGGAGTTTAGGGAATTTAGGGGTTTGGGGTTTAGGGGTTTGGGGGTTTAGGGGGTTTAGGGGTTTAGGGGGTTTTGGGGTTTGGGGGTTTGGGGTTTAGGGGGTTTGGGGGTTTAGGGGGTTTGGGGGTTATTTAAGGCGAAGTGAAAAGCCTGTTGCAAAAGGGGTTTTAGGTTAGGAGCTTCAGGGTTTGGGGTAAGTTTGGGGGTCAGGCGGGCGACGTGGAGTCAATTCAGAAAGACCTCTTTCGATAACTTTATGATTCATTTCTTGCTTGCCGTTCCTGTCCAGTCTGTAACTTCGGACCCGTTGGAATTCTAGTTGGTGGCGAAGATCAGACTATGATCCATTTCTTGTCGCCTACAAACCATGAAAGCTAAGCTGGTGGCGTTCGACCGTAAGAGCATCAGGCCAAGCCCCGCACAAGGCAAAACGCAGGAAGACTCCCAGGCACAAGCTCTAAACCCTACTGTTGATGATATAAATCCTGCACTACCTTGAGGACCCGAAGCTATGGGAATTATGGTATATTCTTTGTTATGGGTAATGCAGGGCTTATGTCATCAACCCTAGGCATCGAGGGGCCCGAAAAGCCTTCTCAAGCCACGACGAAGACCCTCAGCCCTAAAGCATGACTGGTAAGAGAAGGGACCCTACACCCCGTCGACCAAAGAAAGACAACTTTTCATTTTTGAAGAGTGCTCTGACGCTTTCAGGAGCTCCTGGCTGAGTGGAAGGCCATGGTGAAGTTCTGAGCGGAAGAAAGCGCCAACTAGTGGAGGAGTAGTGGAGGTTATTATGTATCGAGAAGCGGAGGGGACGGCTCCGGTTCGAGGTCCCGAGGTTTTTGGTAGGTCTTAATGTGCAGCTCCTTTAAAAAAAAAATGCACGCTGAATCAGAAGCAGACTTGCATACCATCTTCTCTAGACGGTCTTTGCTTTGACGTGGCCGGACCTTACGCCGATGTTTGGTTGCATCTTTGGATCAGCCCCGTCGGATTTTTGGATGACTTTGCAGTTGTGCGCGTGCACGTCAGATTCTCCCGACGGACCCGTGTGCGGTGGCAAAAAGTCGATAGACCGAAGGCAGAGCTGACCTGAAGCCTGAAGCCCTGAAATCCATACAGAAGCAGGGACGGTTTAGGGTTTAGGGTTTAGGGGTTTAGGGGTTTAGGGTTTAGGGGTTTAGGGTTTAGGGTTGAACATATGTAAGCGGGGGAGGTTTGGGGCAGGTTACTGTATCATTGCATAGGAGTGATCAGGGAATATTACTTCTAGTTGCTGTTACAAACTTTAAATCTAACCTGCTTAGGCCTTTCGTGAGCTTAAGCCCAAGACACTGGGCCACAAAACCCTAAATCGTAAATCCTAGCTTAAGTTGTCTGTGGACGGAAAAAGGAGTTCAAAACAAAATCCTAGCGTAAGGGAAAGTCCGCAGCCAAAGTCAAGGCTAGGTCTTAAACCTAAGCGGCACATCGTAGGTCATTCAGTGGAATCAGTGGCCTCAAGAGGTGAGGTGGAGGTAGGTTGGATTAAGGAGAAGTACCTCGACTTTTGAAGGCTGGAGAAGCAGGGGTTTCTTAGCGTGCGCAGTTTAGGGTGTTGGGGTTTTGTGTGTAGAGTTTAGGGTGTAGGATTTTGATGCACAGGGTGTAGGGTTCAGGTTTCAACGAGGCCTGCTGCAAAAAGGGTTCGGGTTTAGGATTGTGCATTGGTGCACCAACCCTGAACCCTTCCGTGCACGCGCTGGAAGTCGGACAGGACAGGCTAGCCATGCAGGGACCGTATAACCGGGCAGTATTCTACAAAACTGGAACAGACTATGGAGGTTGGGGGGATTGCATGAGACTATCACCCGGTAGTCCCCATCAGCGCAATATTGCACCTCTGCCCAGCAGCCTTGTTATTCAGATCATGAAGGCCACTCTGTTGCGGGAACAGAACATTCCGGTCCCTAACCCTAAACCCTAAATGCCCAAACAAGCGTGAAGCTGCTCTCGCCGCAGGGCATCGCGATGGAGGACCGGCCGTCCCACCACCTCACCATCTCCACCTATCAGAGGCCTCGTTCTCTTCGAGGGCTCTTGGGGGATACCGGGGGTACTGACAGCTTCTACTTGGGAGTTTCCGAAGATGGGGGACCCTATTTTAGTACTAAGTACCCTATTTTAGCACCCTAAATAGTAGGATCCTCATTATAAGGGCCCCGAATAAGGTACCCCTAATTTTCGGAAACTCCCATTTGGGCTCCGAGACGGGGTCGCAGAAGGCCCTTTTCAAGGGCCTTTTTGGTAGGTTGGAGACTGCGCGTTCGACCCAACGCTTTGCCCACCTGTACCTAAACCCTCGCCTTGTCGAGTAGGTAACCTTCAACCTTTTTTGGGTAGTATAGTCCCTCTATAATCCCTATATATCCCAAAAGGTTAACCTTTAGTTCCCCATGATACCCGACAAGTAGGCTAAACCAAACATGTACCTAGATCGCAGACCTTGCTTGGATACGCCCGAGTGTAAGCGTCAACTACACATGTATAAGGCCCCCTGAATTCCTAAACCCTAGACCATTGAATTCTTCAACCCCTACAAAGAACATTAAAACCTCAACCTTGAATTCCGCAGGTTTGTTACACCGCCAAGCCTCTAAACCTTAAGCCCGCAAGCCCGACGCCCCCTATGGTAACCTTAAACCTCGAATAAACCCTAAAGCCCGTATCCCTTATAAGAAACTTTACTTTAACCCCAAGTAACATATCTTTTTAGGGACTTCTATAAAGAACTCATACTAGGGATCCCTAAAAAGGGTGGGTTTTATGAGGGTCCAGGTAGTTAAACCCTAAACCCTAAACCCCTAAACCTCGAATTCCGACCGCTCCTCTTAGTGAAGTCTCACTTAGTATGACTCCGAACCTACATGCCTCGCCTGGATTGTCTGAGTGTGAGCGCCGAAACCTCGAATTCTTCAGGTTTTGCTGGGCCGATCTTTTGGAGAAGGCTCTTCCGGCGGCCCTAGAGGCTGCAGCGGCCCAGGAGTACCTCGGCTGCTTGGGATTTTTGTTTTAGAAGCTGCGCGGTTGTTGAGGGTTTAGGATTTAGGATTTAAGGGTTGGGTTGAGGGTGACATACAGTTTAGGAGTTGCGGTTTTCGAGGGTTCAGGGTTTAGGATTTACGGGTTCCGGGCTGAGGGTGATTCATCAGGGTTGAGGGGGTTTAGGGTCTAAGGCGATTTACGGTGTAGGATTTAGGTAAGGTGATTGACGGTTTAGGATTTGAATTTACGTGTCCCGGGTTTAGGGTGATTTACGGTTGAGGATTTCATTGCTCCTTTCGAGGGGGGAATACAGGGGTTCACGGGTGAAGGATTTATGGTTAATTAAAGATTGAAGGGGTTGACGGTTTGAGGCGTTAAGGGGTTTAAGGGCTTCAGGATTTTGTGGGTTCCTTAGTATAATTACAGGTATAGTATAATATACCCCAAACCCTGAGTCCAATTAAGTTAAGGCCTCTATACCAAATCATTATAATAGCCGCCCTTATAGTCCACCAACATCCTGTAGCACAGAGGTCCGTAAGAGTTCCGAACCAAGTGGTTGTAAAACCGAGAGGTTAGTGGCCGGTTAGTTGAAGTTACCACAATATGGAAAGCAAGCAGTGAGTCTTTTAACTATGTAGACCTATCATGTTAAGTAGCTTTGAGGGTGTTTTTGGGGCTTGAGCGCTTGAGGCTTTCAGGTTCAACGGTTTGTCTTTTGAGGGTTGCTCGTCTTTGGCCTGACATGCCGGGAAACAGGATGCATTCTTAGGTTCAGGGTTTGGTTCAGGGGTTCTGGGGTCGGTGCAACAGAAAAACCAAACAGGAAAATTTAGCAGCACTGAGCACGATCTCGCGACGGCAATTCCGTATGGAGGGTTATCAGTGCTCCACGTATGGAAAAGACGCATTCACTTGTACATGAGCTCCTGAGGCATCACCTCGGGAGCCGTCAAGGACTGACAACCTGAAGTAAACACAGCTGGATGTGGTCACCAACAATCGTACTGCCGGATCTTGGTGGCTCTTTCAGGCCCACTTTTGGCTTTAACAAATCGTACTCCCGGATCTTGGTGGCTACTGTATTTCTGGGCCAAGTAGCATCGCATCATTGCGAAGCACTACTGCAAGATGAGGACGCCACGACAAATCGTCTGGGGATCGTCTATGAGATTCCTGCGTTTTTTCTTTGCTTCCGAGGCCTCGCTATCGCCGTGGTCTTCCACTCCGCTGCCTAGGGGAGCTTGGGATGCAGCAGCTGCGGCTTGTTAGTTGCTATTATCACTATGGGTGCTGTCGTTCTAGTGAGCCGAAGTACTGTTACCATCTATAGTACTACTGATCCCCAGGTTCGGACATCATGTTCCATGGGGTTCATGCCATGAAAGACCAGCTGAGTAAACAGGCCTCTTGTTCGTTCCTCCTGATGTGAAACTCATTGGTTCGGATATTGGTAAATCAAAGGGGAAAAAGAGGGACCCTTAATGGGGACCCCTCATGGGTATATAATAGCTTTTTTCAGGGCATCTCCCTGGGGCTCCTTATTAAGGGTTCCTCCTTTCCCCCTTGGAGTAAAGTCTACTTCCAAACCTTATGTCAGTTTTAAGTAAGCCCAGTCATGTAGACAAAGAGGGATAGGGTCCTGGTCGACCGAACCATGTTTGCCATCGGGGTTGTCCGGGGGTACCAGGTTGGCCTCGTGAGTGGGTAGCGAGGGCCAGCTCTGCTTCATAAAGAGGTCTGGCTAAAATTAGCGATGCTATACCCTTCTATCGCACGTGTATGTACATGTACACACATATGTGTTTTTAATATATATATATATATATATATATATATATATGTATGTATGTATGTATGTATGTACATGCACATGCACACAGTATGCACACATACATGCGTACATACATACATACGTACATAGGTGTATGTACATATGTACATACCCGTATGTTTGTCTGTCTGCCTGCCTTTGCTGTCCTGTCCTGCCCTGTCCTGTATGAATGTATGTACGTATGTTTGTATGCATGTATCTATGCACGTATGCATGTTTGTACAGGCACGTGCAGACATGTACTCGGTCGGCTCCGTCTGCAAGGAAGAAGCAAGAGTTGCTTAGGAGCGTGCCGGGAGGGTTTGTTAGGACTCGGGGTGTTTGAGGTTAAGGGATTGGTTTGGGGATTTAGGGGTTCCAGGTCTGACGCTCCGAGTACCTGAGAGAGAGAGAGAGAGAGAGAGAGAGAGAGAGAGAGAGAGAGAGAGAGAGAGAGGGGTTCAAGGTTCGGGGTTTAGGGCTTTAATCATTTCCGTGCGAGATCTCTTGCTGCAAAAAGGGTTTTAATCTTTGAGCAGGGTTTCGGAGTTGTTTCTCACGACGAGTGCTTTGGAGGGGCCACTCAGGTACCGACCCAAGCCTGGCGTGCCCGCAAATGCAGAACGCCAGGCTGGGCCCTACCACCTGCGACCTGCTACCTGCTACTACCTACTTCCTGCTGCTCAATAACTACTACCAACTAAGTACTTGTTTTGTGTATTTATGTTAGTATTATTATGCATGTATGAGCGCATTCAGTCTTCCTTGAAGTAATTCAACACGCGTTCGTTGAAGAATTGACAAGGCATGTCTGGCCATTATTGCATCCTTTGTGTTATCTTCTGTTGTGGCACAGTCACTTGGTATACCGTCCAAATATCATGCGGGTTTAACATCATGTGATTCTGCTGCTGGTTTCGGCAGGCCTGCATCACGGAGTTCCGTTCGCTGCTGGCGGGCCTTGCGGATCATGCGCCTGCGGCTGCGGATGCCGTTTCTTGAACCAGCAGAGTGTTCCGGGGTCATTCGGGATAACGAGTTGCGAGTTGCCATCTAGGGCTTATGATATTCCGTAAATGATGTGCAGCTTCCATGAGCCAGGAGCTAGTTAAGCTGTAAAAAGTTTCAAACATCCTAGCAGATGGTCTTGATCTATATGTAGAACTGATTATCTTTGACTACTCATCTGACAGAAACAGTTAGTAATGACCATTTCCATTTTCTAACCATGCCCACCCCCCTAGGCCACCTGAAGACCCAAAACCATAACAACCTATACCTCAACCCTCAGCCCACCCAAGACCCATAGGTAGAACCCTAGGAATAACTCACCTGAAGACCCAAAACCATAACAACCTATACCTAATACCCACAAGATGGAACCAATAGAAGAACCATAGGTAACATCATAGAATAACAACATACTCAAACCCATACACCAATACCCCCATAGAAAAACCCGATAACCGTAACCCGAAATCCCTAACCTTAGAAAATGGAAATGGTCACCTTAAATAAAATAGCTATAGTAGGAATAATGTTTAGTAGTAAGGATGTCACTGAGCCGGCGACGCACCTGACAGTTAGTAATCATAATATAGTTATAATCTATAACAACCTAAGGATTATAACTACATTATACTTATGACTTATCAACAGGAATCTCAATAATAATTCAATCTTTATGTTTGCCGAATAGCATAAAGTAGTCTTCTAGAAACTCATCATTCATCAGTAACTGATGGGCGTGATTAAGAACTTTATCAATATCAGGTTTAGGTTTCTCGGGTTCGGGTTTAGGTTTCTCGGGTTCCTCTTCATCAACAAATTTATCAGGAAATTGTTCGTTTAATCGTTTGCGTATTTCCCTTTTCTGCTTTTCGTATTCAGCCTTAATTTCTGCTTGCATGTCATCGTTTAGTTTGCCTTCTTTCCTTAAATTACCCAATTTCCTTAAATAATCTTTCATCAATACATTTAGTTCCGAGTTCGGATGTAACGCATAATGGAAATGGGCATCCCAGTTTTCGTGTTTTATCTTATGTCGGCATTCTTCGCATAGTTGGCTCCCTTTTGCTCTCTCTTCTCTTCTCGCTTGGTTATACTCGTTTTTGTTTTTACCGTAACATTTTCTTTTCGCTTCACGGCACTTACTGCAAGTCTTAAAGCCGTCAAACTCTTCAACATCTTTAATTAAAACGTCTAGTCTTTAGGCACGGTTAGACTGCTAACACAAACAGTCTAGTAATCAGTTCATTAATTATTAGAATATTTACGGATGGGGTTCCTTCTAGCAAAAAATGAAGTGCGGGGCTCACTTCCAAACTAATTAACCATTACCACACTCTTTTGATGCGCTTATGGTAAGCACACGGGGCACTGGCGTCAGGGGCACTCTGTCATAACATAATATAATCAAACCTTTAGACTATTTTAACAATTCTTCCAACTGATAAGACTCAAACAATAATTTAAATCGTTTCTTATAATCTTCAACATGATAATAATCCTCTAGTTCATCTATTATAGCACTTAATCTAGCATTATACATTCTAACATTTTTTCTCTCGGTCATCCAATCCTTTTTCTCCTCCTTCTTACTTACTGTTTTAGGGCATAACCAATCCATATATTAATATGTAGATATTTTCAGTCCATACTATCAATTTTATTCTTATTCTTTAGTTTTTCCAATTCATGTTCTAACTTAATTATTCTTTCTTCTGCTTCTTCTGGTGTAATTGACCGACCTGTTCCAACTTTTCCCCAACCCGTATCAACTGTATCAATATCTTCCTTAGCATCTTGGTTTGTTCTAAAAATGCTCTGGTCATCAGGAGTAGTCCCTCTGCCTGTTCCTAAACGCCAACTGCTACGCTCCTCTATCTGATTTACCACTGTATTGCCTTCCTTATCGGTCGTTGTTTTAGTTTCCTTATGAAATGCTTTTCTACCACAACGACATAAATTACAACTGACACTGCCTTTATCAAGATGGAAGTTGTCGTTCTGTTTCGCTTCTTCCTTACTCATTTATACTTGTTAGATTTTATTTTACACTATTGAATAATTGCCTTCATAAACTCAAGTAGATTATAACAACATCTACGATATTTATTTGGTAACACAATTTCTTCAATGTTTTCTATTTCATTGATAGTTTCAATAGAATCAGTATATGTTCCACCCTCGTCCCGCGATCCGCCGCCGCCCCAAACGCCCGTCGCCGCAGTCTTTTGGTTGGCAGTGGACGCCTCTCCTCGACACCCTCAAGGTCTCCAAGAACAAGAAGGATCGCTTCTTGCCCGTGGGCGTCGTGACCGGAGAGGTCCTCCGAGAATGAGTTTCAAGGGCCAGTGTACCACGCAGTGGTGTCTAAACAGGGCAAGGCCTCGCCTAGCACACCACTGGATGGGGCCGGAGCTTGAGATGGTCCGGTGTCCCATCCGCGGTACCGTGCTACCGGTGCCCATCCCCATGCAGCTTTGCGGCAAGGGAAACCAGAGGTGTCCAGGCTCGTACGTCGTCAAGATTACAACGGTGGCTTTGACCACGGGTCCGAGCAGTATTACAGCGTCAACTTGTCGAAGCGGTGCGCTATGGTCTTGTTTGCTGGCCCGCTGACAGTCCGTCTCAAGCAGGGTGAGCAGATGGACCACGAGGTATTGCACTGCCAAGTTCAAGAAAAGGTGCCGAGTATGGCAGAGCCGTACCTGAACACCTTAACGGCCGTGCAGGTGACGCAGTGGTTCAGCCACATGGTTGCTGTTGTGGCTTGGCTAGGTGCCAGTCGCATCAGAACGAGGGATAGGGCTGACAGGCCCAGCCCCACACTCTAGACTGCGAAGCCTTTGGAGGAGCCCGCCTAAACGGCGGCAGAAACAGCCAGCACAGTAGCGGGCCCAACAGCGGCCCTCAAGGAGCCTGCTGGTCGGAGTCCGACCAAGGCTGTTAATTCATTGCATGTTGGATCCTCTGGCAGCAAGAGCAACGAGCGGAAACCCCTATAGAAGCCGTAAACCCTCAAACGCTCCAAAGCCCTAAAACCCTAAAGCCCTAAAGCCCAGAACCTGAACGACCCTCGTTGGCACAAGTGAGAATCCCTTTTGGCTATGTATCACACCGACAGTGCACCCAAGAACCTCGCCTGGCTGAGTCCGAGTTGTGAGAGCGTAAACGACACGAGGATTCAAAAAAAAAGAATTTAAACACCCTGTGCACTAAAATCCCACTCCTCTTCAACCCTTAAACCCTGTACCGCCCAAAAAACCCTCGCTTGACTGTACTTGGAGGTTGATGGGTAGTTATAAGCGGGGTTATAAGTCCCTTAATATGGGTTATAAGTATAGTTACCCTACTTGTAACCCCACTTGTAATTACCCCTGAACCTCCAAGTAAGGCCGGAGACTTCCTGGCCGCGCAGTTCGTCGGCCGGCGCCTTCCGCCAGCTGCGACCCAGAAGGTGCCCCCCTGATGTAGGGGCCGTAGTAGTTAGAGTAGGGGCTCCTGTAATTAAAGGGATCCTTGGATCTATGATAAAGGGGCTTTCGTAATTAGAAAAGGGTTTTGGGGGTATATTGTACTAGAATGATAATAAGGAGCCCTCCAGAACCCTATGCTAATGATTAAGGCCCCTACATCACTGTACCTGAAATTCAGAAGGCTTCTCTTTTCTTCCGGACGTATGTAGAGAACTTTGAGACCGCATATTGAGGAGCTCTAAGCACGTCGAGCTTTCGGGATTTCCTAAGCTTATGTGCCAGACGCCTTGTGAGGCGTCAGGCAGCGGGATCCGGTTTTTCAGTCTGCATGAGAGGGGTGGGGTCAAACCATGAACGTTAAACCTTGAGTCACACAAATCGCTAAAGCCGCCAAACCCAGAATGTCCCAAAGGAGCTGAACATGATCCTAGTTCTTTGAAGACCTTAAACGAAGCGTAGTATACATCCAGAACACAAAAACCCCAAATAAACAAGCCTAAACCCACTATAAATCCCAAACCGCCAACAAGCCTAAGCATCTTTAACACTCTTAGCGCTCCGAAGCACAACGAACAGGGCCCGGCACCGTCTGCGGGCGCGGCGGTGGAAGTGCGCTGGGCCGAGCCTACGGCGGCGCCATGGTGTGAATCTAGGAGAAAGGGTTTACTTGAAGGTTCATGGATAGTTATAAGTGGAGAAGCCCATATTAGGGCCCACTACCCATGAACCTCCAAGTAGGGTTTCGGGTTTAGTTTCTCGTAGTCGGGTCCTTAGCCCAGCTGCAATCAAAAAGAGTTTGGTTGCTGTAGGTGTTTGAATTCGAAGGTTGGGGGTGTGGCTGTAGGGCTTTGCGTTCAGAAGGGCGTCTGTTTGTTTGACAGGAAGCTGAGCGTGTTAGACGCATAAAAACCTCCGGAATTCGGCTGCAGCTTGCAGCACGACACACCGCAGATTTGACTTTGGTACGTTTCGTGTTGACATGGGTTCTCCATGGCAAGTGACAAGGGAGAGCAGGTCATGGTGCATCATTACCGAAACTTGCTTGACGAAGGGATGTGACGTGCTTAAGGTAGTGCTTCAGTGTTTTGTGGGTGTGCCCCCCCACTGAATGAGTTCTGTTTTCTGAAGTGAACAGCAAGTAGATCGTCACCCCGCGTGTTTCAAACACCTATTTGTTGGACTGGTGTCTTCCGGGAAGTTGTTCTGGGCATCATCTTTATTGTTGTAACGTTCTCTTTGCTGCTAGTCCTGTGTAGTTGTGGAAGAGGGGAGCGTGCTCGATTGGCCACTAATCAGTCAATAATTCAGCAAAACATAATCTAGCACAGTGAAGCTCGCATCCTAAACTCTAATGACCCTACTGCTTAGGGTTTCGTCTAGGGCTCTAGCTTTGACATCTTAGGTGCGTGTGGTGGTCGAGAGCTCGCCTGGTCGCGAGCCAGAGGCGCTAAAGAACCAGCGAAGTTTTTTAGGGTTCAGGGTTTAAGATGCTGCGTTCTAAGTGATTGTGGGTAGTAGACTGGCTAGACGTGAGTCCAGTGGCAAAGATGGTGCGCTCTGCAGCGATCAAGTCCTTCTCCACGTAGATGCGAACGGCTACAACTGCTACAAGAGGCAGAGGGGAAGAGTTTTGAGAGTATCTCTGCCCGGAGGGCCGCAAGCCTGCAAGTCCCCCACCCGAAATGGCCGGACGCTGTGGAATTCGAAGCGAAAGACCCACCAGAAAAGAAGTTCGGATGCCATTGGACCTTGGCTTCCAGCAGTCCAAAGGCCCACAGGTTCTCTTAATGACTTAACGTAGGAACCTATCCTGGCCCTATAACCCCCAAATAGTAGGACTCATATAAGGAACCCTAATAAAGTGATAAAGACCCAAGGTTTCTTAATCAGGTTCCCACATTACCAGGACACTAAACCCTAAATCCTTACCAGTATCTGAATGCCCACTGGGCTTTCGACCATGTGTGCGCGAAACGGGACTGTGGCCGCGCTGCTGCGGCAGCGCAAGCCGGCGCACGGGGGTTTAGGGTTTATGGTTCAGGGTACCGTGGAACTTGGCCAATCGTCTCACGAATTCTGTGGCGTAAGGCGCAATTATTCTTGAATTTAGCATAATAAGAACAAGATGGGGTTCGGCAAAGATCGGCATTCCGCTGATCTGATATTTGTGATTCCAGGTCCTTGGTGTTTGTGTTTAGCCTTCTTGTTGCATGAACTACTGCTGCTGCTGCTGCTGCTGCTGCTGCTGCTGCGAACAAAGATGGTGATGGCATGCTCCTGTCAGTGTGGCGAACAGATTGAAGTTTAGGGATATGCCACGGACCCGAAACCCCTAGGCCCTACGCGGACCGCAGCCGGATCTGATAAGGAAACAAGGACGAGGCCCTAAACCCCAGCAAGCAGCCCCGATGCCTAAAGCCTGAATTTTTAAACCCCAAGCCGCAACTCTCAACCCGGAACATCCCTTAACCCCATCCCTAAGCCTTAAACCCTCCGGCTTCCACGCAATCCTTGGGGGAGAGCTCTGCAAGAGCTGAAAGCATGAACGGAAAGCCCAGTCTTCAAATCCTAGAACTATGACCTTAAACCAAAACATAGCAGGCCTTTCGGTTTGTCAGGAGAAGGCTTCGGATTCGGGAGCGGGGGGAGGGGCTATAAGGGCTGCAGCCAAGCGGGGATGTCTTTTCAACTCGGGTCCATGATCCTTGTCCACCACAAGCTTGTGGGTTCGAGCTTCCAGAACCAGGGTGGCTCCTTGTAAAAGGCGTAAAAAACGCAAAGAAGGACACGCCTGAGAGAAAAAGGTGCAGATCTACCACGCCTTGGAAAATTCGGCGGAGAAGCACATGACACCTGGAGTTGACGCTGGGGGCGCAGTTAGAAGCCCTGTACTACAGTATTCCATTGCGGGGCTTTCTTGTCGTTTCTGATACTTGTCTACCCCAAAACCCTTTGCCTGATCTTTCCGGCCCCTGTATTCATCGCAAGCTTGCAGCCATAGGCAACGTGAACACCTTCGCAGCGATGAGCACTGAAGAACGGCGTCAAACACAGACAAAGCAATGCTGTGCAGTAGAAGTGCAAACAGCAGCCAATATCACGTTCCGGTTTACACCAACGGAGTCTTCAAAGCTCCGCACAGCCTTGAACCAAGCTGTTACGGGAGATTCGGTTTGAGGATTAGATAGTTAGCGATTTTTGACGGGCTTTAACCAACAAGCCGTGGTTGCCTTAGCACAAGGCATGTCCAGAATCCGTCCTAAATCCCCCTCGAGAAAGCTCCCGAACATTCAGCAAATGCATGGAACCCTTCAAACCCTTTGGTTACCAGGAGCCGTCTCCTGCGTGCATCGTGCTGGAAGGCCAGCAATGGCTTCCGTCCCTCCAGGCCATCACATCTCGAGCTTGTATGAGTGTTTGGACAGGTACTCGGTGGTGCTGTCCACGGGTTTAAGTTTCCTATACGGTGGCTCAGGGCCTGTTGCTGCCCACCCCCAGCCTGCATGTATTTCAGTGTCATCATTGGTAGGACTCCTGATGTGATAGCTCCTAGCGCATTTTCGCACCAGCCGCACTTTGCTTTCCTATCGAAATCGTCCGGCATCAAGCCTCAATCAAGCCCGGTGGGATTTAGGACAAGAATGCCTTCGCCCCCCCCTCCAATCCCCTTCCCCTCCTTTTCCTTTCCATTGGCTCCCTCCTTTGCGGAGGCATTGAACACGGCTTCTTTGGGTGCCTGGATTTCTGACTCCGCACTGGACCCGGAGCTTCTGCAAGGCCCACCGCTGTGCGTTGCGCTGAGCGCCAGCGGAGTTCTCCGGTCTATCGGGTTTTGGGGTGCAGGATGCCAGCGATCTGGCGGTCACACCTTTAGTCCTTGCAGTTTGCATCCCGCTGCCGAGCTGTTTTGGCGATCCCAGTTGCTTCCGGAACTGAGGCTCATCTGAACCCTCAGTTTCTTGCCTTGGTGATGTTTCTCAAGATCCTGTTCGGACCGTTCTAGAAGACCACACACAAGCAGAAAAGAGCTGCGTCCCGAAGTGGCATGGAGGACATGCGAAGCTCCAAGAGTCGAGTTTGGACTTTTTGAAAAGTCACTGTCACATATGCGTATCGTTTGTACATGCACGTGTACATACATGCACGAACAAATGCCCCACTACACCCGTGACGCACCACACCCGTGACGCACCATACGGAACCCAACGCTGAGCCCAAACAATACCAACCCCAGAAACCCAAACCTGAATGTTCCAAAACACCAAAGCCTTGCGCCCATAAGTCTTGAACCCCACTCCCCAAGACCTCAAAACTTTGCAGGGCTTTGGGAGCACGGCCTGTTAGAGACGCGCCTGGCGGAGACTCTGGTCGCGCAGTCTCCGACTGCACCCAGAAAGCGCAAGGTGCGGACGGGCTTTATGACCGGTTTGAGATTCGTGAGTGGTTTTCTTATTGTCAAAGGGCTCCAAACAACCAAGCTGGGATGGCGGTAGGAGGGTAATGCCGAATAATTAAGTGTTTTTGTATAAGGGATCCTTTATCCCATCCAACTTTCTCCCCGCTATTTCGTCCCACCGTGTTTGAATTTTTGTTAGCGCCTTGTCGGCGCTTGCTGGTGACTGGTATTCCATGTAGCACAAGTGCTTTCCTGAACGATCATGCCTGTATGCAGACACGCATGTATGCATGCATGGATGGGTGGACGTTCGTGCCGATGTATGTATGCACTTATTCATTTTTGTTCTGCTTCACAAATAGCTAGATGTACATACCTAGCAGTATCGACATCATAGCTGAACATGTATACATCTGGCGCGGTTGCGATGACATTCACAGAACTTCGATCTGCTGCCCCTGCCTAACCCCTAGGCCCAAAAGGGCAGTATCCGGCCTGATCTTGCTGGTTTAGGGCATTAGTAACAACAGCTGCAAGCGGCGCCCCAGGCTCCGGCCTTGTTACCTCTCCTGTCGCTAATTATAGAAGATGTTTTCAAGACCGGCTCGCGGCGTAGATTCTTACGACAGCACGAGCGTACTGAAAGACAAGGCCAGGAAGCACACCGGCAAGGAGAGCCGTAAACTTCTAAGAACTCTCGCGTTGAAAAGAGAACACCCAGGTCCTGAAGCTCTTCAACTCCTCGTCCTGAAGCTCCATAGACCCTGAACCCCAAAACCCTCAGGCCCGAAACAAAGAAGAGAGCAGGTGGAACGCTGGCAGCGGGGCAGGAGTAGGGGGCGGGAGCAGAAAACCGGGGTGGGCGAGGATGGGCTCCCCTAAACTTTGGGGATTCCTCCCAAGCCCATCACAGGGAAAAAGAGCCCTTAACCCCAAACCCTAAACTTAAACCCTGATCTCCCAACCCCAAACCCTAGACTTGCGATCTTCTGTGGTTGGTTTCGAACGAGTTCCCTGCGGTGCGACTCTGTCAGCTGGGCGGCTGGGAAAACATTAAAAGTTCAGGGCTTACCTGGACCCTAAGAAACCTACCTTTTTAGAGCTCCATCATATGATTTCATTATATAAGTCCCTAAAAAGGTAGGTTATTTGGGGTTAAGGTAAGGTTTAGGTAAACCAAACCCCCGAACCCGAAAATCTTGAGGCCGCCGGCGCCGTCGTCGGTCGTCCGGGCCACCGCACCTCGGAGACGATTTGCTCCGGTTTTGGGGTTCCTTTAAAGGGGTTTAGGGTTTCTTTAAAGGGGTTTCGGGTTCCATTAAAGGGGGTATAGGGGTTCCGTTACGGGTCTCTATAAGGGCTTGGGGCTTGGGGCTCCTAAGTTAGCATTCGTCGGGCTTTCAGGATTTAGGGTGTTAGAGATTTCGGATGTGCGAGGGAGTGAGTGCGAGGATATAGGGTTCAGGAATTAGGGTTTAAGGGTTTAGGATTTGTTGTTTGCAGTGAACGCCCCAAACCACTGAACCCCAAACACCCTACACCCCGAAACCCCGGTACCCTCAATCCCTGAATCCAAAACCGCTCGACGCACCCCTGAAACGCCCGAAACGCGCCATCCGGTGCCTCGGTGAGGTCTTTTCCTACTGCGCAGAGCGAAGCGGCATCGTCAGAGCGACAGCTACAAGGTTCGAGTCTTTGTTGGTAGGGTTCGGTCTTAGGCCTATTTAGGCTTGAGTTATTGCTTTAATGGCTTCCAGTGTTCAGGATGTTGCTCTAGAGCTGCAAGGTTTGGGGTTTGGTGCCTTAGGGGTTCTAGGGTTTTGAAGGGTGAACCCTGCATAGCTTCGGAATCCTCAAGCTTAAGTTTCAGGTCGCAAGGGCTGCTTGCTCCAACTCCGGGCGAAGTGGAAAGCCTGTTGCGAAAAAGGGATTTTCGGAACCTTATCTGAATCGAATCAAGAGCCAACTCGAACGACTTGCGCACGACTCATGCCAGCAGAGCTGCCATTTTCACTGTGGGAACACGTGCCTCAACGTACGGCAAGTTGATTGTCGGCCTTAAAGAGGGCACTCCAGGGGAGCATATGCGCTGAACCCGAAGTTTCTCTCTTGTTGGGAGTGCCAGCAGTCTTGCTTTGTCATCCTCTGCGTCTTTTGTTCAGAGTCCAACCTGGAATCGCACCCTCCGATGCCCTACAAGACGCAGAAAGACACAGAGGACCAACAGCCAGTGAGGGTGTCGATGACCGATCTGGCAGGTACCAGCTACCCCGAGCCTGATCTTACAGTGTATCATTATATTAACTTGTGAGATATACCCTATCATATACCCATGCAGAACGCTTTCAGTATCGGCTACCTGCCAAGTGGGTCTGATTTGCACCTGAGCTCCTGGAGCTAACACGGCACCCTGAGAGGCATGGAACCCGAAGCATGCCGGTTTTTTCCAGCACATCATCGGTGGATGATGTGGTGGAAAGCCGCATCCTTCGGGTTCCTATGCACGTCACGTGTTCGTTTGCATCTCTCCAGCATTGGCCCTGTCTGAACCCTTGGAGCATCTGCCAGTATGAATCGCACAACAACGAAGAGGTGATTTGAGAGAAGGGGCCAACGGCAAACGTTGGTCATCTCTCACTGCATGTGGGCTTCGACTTGTTTGCAGGGCTAGGGGTCCATCTGTAAGTCCTCGGGACGACATGGCGACTTCAAGCACATGAACTGTTCTTTGAATGTGCGAAGGTACCGAAGACCAAGAAACTCACATGGGGGTTTCCGAAAATAGGGGACCCTAATATGGTACCCCTAAATAATAGGATCCTTATTACAAGGACCTCAAAATAAGGTACCCCTATCTTCGGACACCCCCACATGTTTTTAAGCTCAAGATAGGCAGAACCGCCTACTCGAAACCCCCTGCGTCCTAAGCCCGAACCCAAAACCCCTAGTCTCCTAGCTGAATGCTACGTATTCTCAAGACTCAACTACAAAAGAAGATTGTGCCACATTTTAGTATATCAGTATATCATGTTATTTAACATCATATATTATAGTATATTAGTAAATCATGTTAATCCACGCCATATGAAGATTAATCTGCGCTGAACCAGAGCCCTGGCTGTCAGGGCCTCGATGTGCCCAAGCTGCCGGAGGCAGACTCCTCGGACATGTCAAACCGCGAGTTCTCAACAAGTCCTGCACCTTAACCATAAACCCCAAAACCCTAGCTGCGCAAGCCTGGGCAGGTTCTATGCTCAGTATTCCAGGCCCAAAAACCCCAAAAAACCCTGAACCACCTTAAAGGGGTGGTGTTTTGCAGTTTGGGGCGAGGGGTCAGGGCCAAGTTTAGGGTTTTACGGCAGACTCAAAGAGCCCGGATCATTTTGTTGGCCCTAAATCTGGTTTTACTAGTGGTTCAAAAGCAGTAATTAAAAAGCTCAAAGAGCCCTCTATAAGTAAAGCATCAAGACAAAATGGACACAGCGAGGAAACCCTCTATGACAGAGGGTGATGTATGAAGCCTTGTTCTACTTGGGAGGGGGTTGAAACCCTAAGCTAAGCGTTGAGCCCGTATGCGAGAGGGGAGAAGCCCTAAACAATCCGGAAAACCCAAACCCTAAAACCTACACCTTAGAGCCTTCCCTTGGAGGGATTTCATCTGTTCTGCAGTTGGAAAAAGGCATTTAAAAAACACCTTAGATGCAAAAAAATCCTGGTGCCTCGCCTTGTCTGTCCGGGTGAGCGCCGAAGTTCCCAAACCCTAAACCCTAAATATGAGTTTCCGAGAATAGGGGTACCTTATCTTATCATATCTTATCTTATCTTGTGCTTATAAAAGGATCCCCACTATCTAGGATACTTTTTTTTAGGGTCCCCTAGTTTCCGAAACTCCGAAATTGCAAGCAGGGCCTCGATGCGCTCACCCTGCGCGAGGCAGAGGCCAGTTTTGGGTTCCGGTAAAGGGTTTGAGCGGTTTAGGGTTTAGGGTTTCTTGCTTACAACTGTAACCAGGAACCCTTATAGTCAGCGTTCTACTACTCTGGGTTCATACGGTGGGTTTTGATTTTCTGAAACTCCAATCTGCCATTTGTCGGTCGGTCTGTGTTTACCCCCGCGCAACTGTTCATCTACCTCCCATATCAAAGAAAGGCCCGACCCGAACAAGCTCAACGCCAGAGTTAAACCAACAAGCTCGAGGCTGCATTTGGAACTAAACCCTGAACCCTAAGCCACGTTAACGCACTCGCCCTTAAAGTCTAAGTTTGCTTAGTTCTCTGTGGCCGCGTAATTATAGAGTCGATTTTTTTTCTACATGTTGCGCCCTAACTAAAGCCTCAACCAACTGTGTCATCGCCTGGTGCCGGTAGTGACAGTCGATATCCAAGACCACCTCAATTTACACCCTAGACCCGACAGCCTTTATGTGGCATGCTGCGGAACTGCTGGTCCAGCGAAACACATACAACAAGTCCTTCATGCCCCAGCCTCAAAAAGTGCAGCCTACGACCGCCAAGCCCCATATCCCAGGCCCTAAACCCTAAAGGTTCAAGACCATTGCTTATGACATTGATAAACGAACTTTGTGTAAACCCTAAACTTCGTTTATCAATACGCAAAGTTTAGGGTTTATCAATGAACACATAATATGTGTTTATTGATAAACCCTAAACCTTCGCGTGACCTGAAAGGCATTTCTGGCCAACTACAAGCTGGCGTCCGCATGGCTGCGACGGGCCCCTCGGCTCAGCTTTTGGACTTTTGATTGTTGGTGGTGGGTTCCGGGTTCAGGGGACCATGCATGTGGTTCTGGTGCGGGTAGATGATCAACGAAGGTTAGGATGTTTCGTTTTTTTCGAAATTTGGCCGGCTTCCCAGCTGAACACGATCAGAGCCTGGGTTCAACAAAAGCGGGTTTAAAAGTTTAGGGTCTAGTAGTAATGTAGGTAACCTTCATATAGCCTTTTTTGTGCAGTATAGTCCCAATTGTCGCCCCTATGTGACCAAAAAGGTTAGCCTTTAGTTCCCCATGATACCCGACAAGTAAGTAAGGTGAAGAGCTCCAAGAGCTTCAAGGCTTTCAGTGGGAGCTGCGTTCAGGTACGGGGGTTGCAGGAGAGTCGGAAGAAAGAAGAGTCGGGGGTTCTGTTACAGGGAGTTTCCGAAAATCAGGGGTACCCTATTTTGGGGTCCTTATAATGAGGATCCTTCTATTTAGTGTACCATATTAGGGTCCCCTATTTTCAGAAATTCCCATATCACGACCTAGCTAGATAGATATTGCATGCATCCATGTTCCTTCCTGTATGAGACTTCGTCTTCAAGTTGGCCGCATCTGCCTTCGAACCCTCAGCAAAGTACGGCACTCTTAATGGCCAAGCTTTGAAAACGCCCACAGTTTAGAGAATCCCACAAGAGCTCGAAGAGCCTTTGAAAGCCTTCACACTCTTGCAACCCGAACACGGAGGAAAAGGGTGGGCGCTTTGGGAGTTTGCATTGAGCGTCTAGGCTTAGGGGGGATTGAGGGTAACCCCCAAACCCTACAAACCCTCAGCCCAAAAACCCTGAACCCCTAAACCCTAAACCCTTAAACCCCTAAACCCTAAACCCTTGAGTAACCATGCAGGAGGCGGGCAAAACCTCTTAGGGGAGTTTCCGAAAATTAGGGGTACCTTATTTGGGGGTCCTTATAATAAGGATCCTACTACTTCGGGTGCCATATTAGGGTCCCCCATTTTCGGAAACTCCCTTATCAGTTTTCCGCCGCAAAAGAGGTGCAGCTTCGTGAGAAACTCCTGGCAGGCCGGGTGTGAGAAAGCGGAGGGGTTTTTGCTTTTGGGGTTTTAAGGGTTTACGTCTAAGGGCGATAGGCTTTGGGGCTTTAAGGGTTTACGTCTAAGGGTTATAGGCTTTGGGGTTTTAAGGGTTTACGTCTAAGAGTTATACGCCATAGGGTTTCAGATTTTAGGGTGTTAGGGAGCCAGAGGGGTGTTTGGGAAATGTGTGTTGCAGTACGGGTTGGTTTCGGAGGCCCTTGGTGCGGGGATCAATCTCCGGAACTCTCAACCCAAATCTTTTGAAGGACCCCTTTTTTACTCCCATCAGTCAGGAGTGGAGTGCAACAGCCTGGGCAGTGCAGTAGGGTTTTCCTCACTATGACTACCCTTCATGACGGTGGCCTCTCATGGCCAGATTTCTAGCAGGCGATTGCAAATCCGGGGGGGGGCCCAGAGCTGCGACAAGGCGGCGTCGTGAGGATACCGAAGATTCTGCCCGACAGCGTCGCGCAGCTGGCTCTGAGGACGCTGCAGGACGGGGTTTTTGAGGTCTCCAGGCCCTGGAAGCCCAAACCCTGAGCCCTAAACGCCCTTATGGTCTAGGGAGTTTAGGGTTCTTTTCTTAAAAAAAATTAAAAAAAAAGAGCCCTAAACTCCCTAGACCATAAACTCGAAACCCGAAGGAAGGTTCATGGCGCTCAAAAGCCCCGAGGTTCTTGTCTGGAGACCTCGGCTGGGCTTCTTGGGGTTGAGTGTTGTCACGAAGTCTGTATACTCTGAAAAAAAACCAGTGGCAGGGAGAACCTGCAGAGTTACTTTGGAATTTTGAGCCTGGAACTCGAGTTTCTTGAACTTGCGGCCCGGTTTGGGATTCAACATGGCTTACGAAGTTTGGACCCGTTGCTGTGGCATGGTGGCATTTTCTGGTTCCTATCTCATCCAAAGATCCTAGGCCTCAAACAAACCCGGCCGAAACCTCAAACTGTCAGACTTTGGTAAGTCCCCAATCTCTAGCGACGATCCGTTACACCCTTATGGCAAACCCTGAAGCCCCTGAAGAGCTTAATCTGACAACCCTGAACCGGTTTAGAGGGGCTTGTGCAGTTGCAGGTTCAGTGTTTAGGGCTTAGGGGCTTTAGGGTTTCTATAAGGGTTACCAACTGTACAGGGTGTAGGGTTTTTTCCCACCCACTCAGCTGACCAAGTAGGGCCTAGGGTTGTTGGCCTTCGCTTTTCGATTGCAACAGGTGAGGTCTCGCTAGCCAAGCCCAAAAAGCTCTAAAGCCTACTTGACGAAAGTGGCAGCCTTGCAAGACCCTTTCCGGCATCTCCTATCAGTCTTGTAGAAGCCTAAAGTCCTAAAGCCCCTGGAGCAAAGATGTGACGAAGGAGATGCCCCATGAGTCCTGGAATCTCACACAGGCCAACCGCGACGCCTCGAGGCAGACCCAGGGGCCCAGGGGTTAGGGATTCGGTGTAAGGGTTCAGGGTTCAGGGGTTTGGAATTCAAACAAAAGGGGTTGGGGGGTTTAGGCCCTATCCTTGTAACGGAAAGGCCGTGATGCAAGGGTCTTGCCTGTCCCCAAGCCCAGTTGCAAGAAGGGTTGTTCGAGCCTTGGCGTTGCGTGCAAAGCTGTTTTGCTTAGGGCTCGTGTGCGTGCGCGTGTAGGTAGGTAGCTGTAGGTAGGTGTGTGTGTGTGTGTGTGTGTGTGTGTGTGGATGTGTTTGTGTGTGTGTGTGTGTGCGTGTGTCCGCGTCGATATTGGTGTGTGCTTTAGGGGGCCTTCGTCAGCATTTGCGGATGTGTCGGCTGCGTGGAAACATCATGGTCCTAAGCACTTGGCCTGAATGCTATCTGCGGTTGCGCTGTGTTTCTCCCTCGCCGCAAGTCCAAGTGCAAGAAATCATGCTCTGGCTTGCATACGGGAAGCATTTTGGCCTCTAGAAAGAGCTTGCGGTTTCCTTATCATGGGCTGACCGTATAAACTCTGATGAGCTCTAGACCTTCCCGACCCTGAAGAGCGTAGGTAGTTGCTTGTCTACCGGAGAGTTTCGGAAGGCGTACTTGTTCCATGTATTCTCGCCCAGCTTAAGTAATCCCTACCTTGGGGGCTTTGATTGAATCAGCGGTACCATTTCGCAAGCCTGATAGTTATGAAGCTGCAGCTGCCATGTTATGCTCTTAGGTATAGAGGGGCCGTTGATTGCTCCCAGGCTTGGAATGTGAGGCGTCGGTGAGCCCGACAGCCTGAAATGCAATGGCAACAGGAAGTTGGAAACCCTCTCGTTTGAAGGGCGTTCTATTGCACGAGGTTCTACACTATTGACAAACTTTGATTAAAATCCGACGGGTTTGGGTGTCTGGAGAAAGAGCCCAAACCTGGAGCCCAGAACAGTCAGTTTAGATCGCTACCCAAGCCAAGGGCTACTGTCCCAAAGTTTTGGGGGTTTTGGGTTTAGGGTTTCAGATCTACAGGAGGTCAACCGGTCAACCCCAAGCCTTCGGGGGCCGTTTGACATCACGAAAGAAAACCCTACAGCCACGACCCCAAGACCAGGAACAACGTGGCGCACCGCTTCGCCTCCCGACGCTTCGGCTCGGAGTGGCGTGGCAGAAAGGATTTAAATATATAAGGATGAAAAGCCAGAGAAGTTTCCGGGCCTACACCGCAAAGCCTCCTGATATCAGCAGCTGCTACGATTCCAACTCCGAGCCAGTGGCCAGGACCCTCACCCACCTCTTCCGTGTCCTTGGTGAACTTCTTCCAGGCGCGCGCAGATGCCCACAGTGAGGAAACGTCGCTTGAAGTCGGGCGTGAAAGTCACGCGGAGACAACTACGTCCTTGGCAAATTAGTAGGCTCTTCGTGAAAGTCAGTTCTGAAGGCGCCATGTCCTATTCTGGCGCTCGAGATGATCTTGGCTTGTGAATTCGGTTGTGCCAGATGGCCTGTAAAGACGTACAGTTGCTAACCTGATGCTTCGGGTTATGCTTCGGCTTGTGGTTTTGGGGATGGGTGAGCGGTGAGGCCACCAGAGAAACTCTGGTCCCAAACTAAACCCTAAACCCAAATCCCCAAATCTTCTGAAAGCATCTCAGGGGAGGTCGGCCTCTGAGCCACCCCCCTGCCTCTGCCTGACAGGAAGAAGCCCGCGGAGTGTTGAGAAAGCTTCTGTTCTGTTTCGGTTTCGGTTTAGGATTTGGCTCTGCAGTGAAGCTGCTAGGGCTCCTTGCTCCAACTCCTAGCGAAGTTTAGGGTGTTTAGGAGCGAGGGAGACAAGGGCACGCCAAACCACCGAATTATGACCTGCTCCAAACCCGAAACCCTACCGCTACCTGCAGCGAGCCCCAGAAAGGTGGCAGGTGAGTTTCATAGGAGGCCAAAAGGGGTTTTAGCCTATGGGGGTTTATCAGGGAATGGGGTTCCCATAGTAGGGTTCATATTAAGGAATCCCTACCCCAAGAACTTTAACCCCCCTTTTGGCCTCCCATCAGAGTTTCGTTTAACCCCGACTCGTTGGGCTCTTTTGGCCCCTTGCCGCCAGGTGAGCTGAACTCCTTCTCTGCAGGCCGTTCAGGGAGAACGCTGCCGCCCTATAGCCCTAAACTAAACCCTAAACCCTAAAACCCTAAGTACAGACATGGTGGGCCCTCAATAATCCTAGGACTCGCACATCTTGTTGTGGCTAGTTTCGGACGAGCTCCCTGCGGTGCGACTTTGTCAGCTGGGCGGGTGGGATGGAAAACCGTACCTGGACCCTAAGAAACCTACCTTTTTAGGGCTCCATAATATGATTTCTTTATATAAGTCCCTAAAAAGGTAGGTTATTTGGGGTTAAGGTAAGACTTAAGACAACTGAGTTTTTCAATCTGGCAGCCCTGAATCCGCCAAGCCCCTCCTTGACGTGCATGCATGGAACCGCTCTCAGGGAGAGCGATGGCACTCTGGTCAAGCGATATACAACAGCGGCGTGGATCTATGCGTAAAGTGGTAGTAGACTGAACCGTGTGCCCAATCTGCGACTCTCTTTGGCTGAGGGCTTAGGTTGTCACGTTCCGGGCTTGGTCTTCGAGTCCATGCGCCACTCTGGGAGGACGGTATCTGCAGGGAGATCACATCGAGAGGCACGACGACCGCCAGTACACCGATGTGCGCCGCGAGCTGAGTATCAGAGACGTCCGAGGCTCAAGAGAACCCTCGTGATTGCCATAGACCTCTCGGAGGGTCAATTTCATGGAGGGCCTTAATAATTAGAATAGAGTTTTGGGGCCCATTATACTATAGTTATAGTAAGGAACCATTTAGGCCCCTACATATATTAATCATCCGAAAAATGGCTGCGGGGCTGTCAGCAAATTCATAAGCCGAGGCATGGAGGATGGATCCACGGTGCTTTGCTCCCGGACGGCCATAGCCCCATCACATCGAGTTATGCCTCACGTGACGCGGGGTCAGTGTTTCCAATTTCCTGGTCCAGGGTTGCTTGAGGTTTGGAGCACCCCTAATCCCTAAACCTTAAGCCCTTAAACGCCGAAACCAGGGGCCACTCAAGTTCGCTTGCCAGCCAACACGATTGCCCTTGAACCCTGCTGCGGCTTAGGGCTTATAAGGTTTTAGGGTCTTGCGTTTGGGGGCAAGCCCCTGACCCGAAAGTGAGAGACGAAGCCCCCCAAACAGCCGACCACAGTGAGGAGGTGAAAGCTAATTAATAACACTGGCCGCTACGCTAGGCAAGAAGCAACTTTTGTTGGTTGTTATCATACTCTCGTACTTGATTCGTTCTTCTTCTTGGGCTTTTGTTCTTTAGTCTTAAGCTCACTCCTACCCTCTCATTCTTCTTCTTGTCCTTACTCTCACTTAGCTTCTTGATTTAACTTTCTTCTTATTGTTTTGTTTATTGTTGACTTGCTGCTGCTGTGATGCTTGTTCCCACTGCATGCCCACACTCTTTGCCGATGCTTTGTTTTTTGTGCTGCCTTCATCTCAAGGGCGAGGCGACTAGTTATCCGAAGTGACGCTTGGTTGCGGAATACCAATGAATCTGTTCAGAAACTGCTTGTTCTCATGTTTAGCCTCAGTCTCCGTCTTATCCATATCAATCCTTACTCTTACCCCTGCCTTGTTCGTGTTCATCTTCTTGCTCTTGCTCCTGTGCAACTTGTTCCTACTGACATTTTGCACCGAAGACGCCGAGCCTCGAGGGTTCTGTCGGTTTCGGGATCCCTGCAAGCTTGAAATAATAGGGTTCAGGGTTTACTTGGAGGCACTTCGGAGAGACCTCGTTCAAATAGGGCTCGGGGAAAAGAGCTGAGGGCTCGTGGACAAACTGCCTGCTGGCTTGACTTCAGGAGGTTATTGGGCCGAAGAGGCCTCCGGGAAGCCTTTAAGTAAGGGCTCCTTGCAGGGTTTCAGCTTGCCAAGGTCGCGGTCATCTGGTATCTGACGCCCGACTGGCGCAAGGTGAGCTTGGCGGTTAAGTTAAGTGGAGGGGGGGCATTGGACTTGGGTGCATTTCATCGGTGATGCTAGCCTTTGCGAAGCAAGAACGGTACGCTCCGATCGTCACAGCAGTGTAAGGTGTCATATTCAGAGAAACGCCAACAGCAGCTAAGTGAGACAGAGAGTGGTGATCTCAACAGTAGATGCCAGAGTTCCACTAGCTCAGTCCAAACCTAAACCCAAATTCCTTAGACGCACCGGAGTGTGAGATAGGGGCCTCATGTTTAGGCCTCAGGGTTCAGAGTAAGGGTCTGCTAGTTGCCAAGCTCATGCTCAGGTCCGTTTAGGGTTTAGGGTTGAGAGTAGGGACCCTTAATAAGGACCCCTGGGTATATATATATATATATATATATATATGCTCTCGGGTCCCGGGCCGCCACACCCCCCCCCCCCCCCCCCCCCATGGTATCCCCCCAGCCCCCTGCTCACCCCCCCGGCCCGCACCTTGCCCGCCCCTGCTGGGCCTTGTGCGCGGATCGGGAGTGTCGCACTATGGTCTGCCGTGTGCGGAAAGCGGGAATCGGCGCAGTAGTTTCCAGCATCTGACATGAATGGCAATGCTGAATTATGAGGGTTGTATGGCGATGGTGATGGTGGCAGATATTCGAGGAAGGTATTAATGATGAAGATGACGACGACAAGGATGATGTTGAGCATGGTCTGATTGTCGACTCATGTCCCGGTCTAGAGCAGCACAACATCATGAGCAGTATCACCGGTGCCGCAGCAAGAGGGAAGACAAGGAGTAACACATGAGAACGTCGCGGCAAAAAGAGTACCACCACAGGCCCCACTCCGCAGGGGGGGGCGGGGGGGGAGGGGGGTGTGGCAGCCCTGCATCATATATATATATATATATACCCTTAATATAACTATTATATACCCATTATATAGCCCATTATAGGGTAGGGGTCCCCATCAAGGGTCCTTCCTTTTCCCCTTTGAGTAAGCCCACCTCAGGTCTGAGGCAGACGACATTTCAGCACTCGATGGACAGGGCATGTTAGAGTTAAAGCTCAAGGTTACCTTATTTTGGGGTCCTTATAGTAAGGATCCTCCTTGTTTTCGGGGGTACAATGTTAGGGTCCCCTGTTTTCGGAAATTCAGGGTTCTGCGGGTTTAGGGCTTGGCAGTAGGTGCCGCATCAAAACGACTCGAACCTTAAACCTAAAGCGTTTTGCTTGATTTGTCTCCCGCACCCCTAAACTCTAACACCCTGGCACCCTAGACACTGTAAAGGCCATAAACCCTATGTCAACAATCACGAATCCGGAGTTCTTTCTGACAGCACATTCGTCGAGTGAATGAACGGTAACGAAATCGTCGAACCTACAACTGCAGACCTTGCCAGGCTTGTCCGAGTGTGAGTGTCGAAAATGTCAACAATCAGCCAATTTAATCCCGCGTCGATTGCATACTATTCCCCCCAGCTTTCGAGCAGGAGTGGGGTGGGGCCTTCCACGATTTGGAGACCGGAGAGGAGGCACTTCCATTGGCAAGAGTTCACAAAGCCCTAAGACCTTAAAGAAACCGAAAGCCCTCTAAACCCTTCAACAACTCGAACTAAAACCCTAAGCAAATTCAAGCCCAGCACCTCAAGCGACTTTTAAGCACCGAAAACCTCAAAGCATCTAAGAGCCCGGAGAGAGAGAGAGAGAGAGAGAGAGAGAGAGAGAGATAGAGACAAGAGACAGAGAGAGAGAGAGAGAGAGAGAGAGAGAGAGAGAGAGAGAGAGAGAGAGAGAGAGAGAGAGAGAGAGAGAGAAAGAGAGAGAGAGAGAGAGAGAACACAAAAAAATCATCAATTTCCACAGTAACCCGAACGGGTCGCTGGAAAGCCTCACCCAGTTCAACAAGCCGAGACAGTAGCAGCCCTGGAGGGCGGTGTCTCAGATGGCAGGCCCCGTAAAGAGTTGCGATGACATTAGTCGGGTGTGAGATAACGCAATCCCGCCTACTGACACTCTCGAATCTTCTCGGCCCGTGTACAACAGGATCTTCGAATTGGAAGTTTGGGGCCTTAGGGAGGTTTGTTTAGTGTTTAACCGTGCAAGTCCCACGAGGGGTCAAGCGGGCAGAGTGTTGAGGTGAAGAAGAGGGTCCGATTGCCCAAGTAACTTGTACAATAGATGCGCATACCTGGTGAGTATTTAAAAGCAGTAGGGACATGCATCTCGAGACCAGATTCTGCCCGAATTCAACACCCTCGTGGCCTTCAACGTCCCGCGCTTCCATGCCGCTCGCCTCTTGCAATCATGCGAAGCTGCATACGGGGTTTGGGGATCTGATGGAAGGTCTGGCTAGACTTGAGCCCAGTATTTTGTAAAACGGGGTTCGCATCCCTTGATCGAAGCAGTGCGTCTGTTTGGGGTCACTGCCTGGCATTGGATTTGAACGACTGCGGGCACATGGGCTCAAGGCTTTTGTCTGCCTGCTCCTAAGGGCCCCAGTGAGTGCGACTTGTAGTAGTCATGTAGTGCAGTTGCACCTGAACCCTAAACGGCCCTAAACCCAGAGTCAGAGTCTCAGCTGCAGAGATCGAGGACTAAAGCCACGAAAGATCCCGGAACGGAAAGTCCCGGGCCCCTCTGCAATTGCCCCACACACCCAAGTCAACTCCCGCAGCAGCAGACCTCTTAACCTCAACAGTCACATTTCAGCAGGTCAGCCTTAACCCCCTGCCGGACGAAGTTAAGCCAAGTCGCAAGACTCAATTTCGAAACCGCCTCATAACCATGGCGGCGTGCCGGTCCTATGCGGGCGAAGACGGTCGGGCACCCCTGTTTGTGTTCTACGAGACCCTGCCGAATGGCTCGCACCCAGCATCCCAAGCCGCAAGGAGCTTCGATGAAGGGTGTAGGGATTGTAGCGTTTGCGTTTCGGTTTCGGATGTGTCGAAGAACTTGACTGGAACGGCACCCCCTTCCCGAGTTCCAGCTCTGGAAGTCATAGACCGCCTGAGTAGGGCTGTCAGCAGTATGGCCGGGACCGAGGAGTACTAGTACTACGTAGTACTACTACTACTACTACTACTACTACTACTACTACTACTACTACTACTACTACTACTACTACGACCACTACTACCACTACCACTACCACTACCACTACCACTACCACGACTACTACTACTACTACTACTACCACTACTACTACCACCACTACCACTACTACTACTACTACCACTACCACTACTACTACTACTACTACCACTACTACTACTACTGCTACTACTACTACTACTACTACTACTACCAATACTACTACTACTACTACTACTACTACTACTACTCCTGCTGCTGCTGCTACTACTACTACTACTACTACTACTACTACTACTACTACTACTACTAAGTCTTCTAAGTATCCGGAGACGAGCTGTCTTAACTTGCTCGGCCTGGGCCCCTGGGACCTGACTGAACAGTTCCACTCCCGCCTCCCCCCCTCTGTGGCACTTTCATAACCAAAGGCCCGACGGCCCAAAAGGCCTTAAAACGAAAGCGCAGAGTCCCAGAATTCCGATGATCCAGACACAGCGATGAGGTGGCCGCCCCCTCCTTGGATCCAGCTTCAGGTCTTTGCTTCTTGGCCTCTGCAAACCAGCCCAGGCCCTGTTTCAAATCGCCCTGAACCGTAATGGTGGCATGGAGATATGGGGGTTTGGACAAAGAGGGGATCTTCGGAATCGAAGGATCCTGGTGGGAAGGTGTCTTGGTTTGCGCGACGGCCTGATTTTTTCGGCTCCTCAAATCGCCTTTTTCGTGTGGTCATTTCGAGGCCATGATAGTTTTGAACAAGGTTTTTGGGGCCAGGAATAGAGGAGGTGCCAAACCAGGAAGGGCCAGGGCATCTGTTCGGGCTTCGTTTGAAGAGCCAGCCCCTTCTGCCCAAGCCCAAACCCTCGCCCCAGCGCTCAGTACTGAAGACAGAGCCAAACCTAACCCTTAAACAAATCCGTCGAGTGCGAGCGACAAAAAACCCTTAAGCAACTCCTAAAGCTTAAACCTCCGGCCCAAGGCTTCTATCCGCAGCTGAGCTGTGCCCAGGAGTCGTGCTGCCTTGCAGACCGGTGGGCTCCTAGCCAAGCCGAAAGGGGTGTGGGCTTAAGCAAGGGGTTTCAGAGAGCTTAACAAAACTGCTCTTCTGGGTCTTTGTGTTGTTGTGTGTGTGTGTGTGTGTGTGTGTGTGTGTGTGTGTGGTTTCTTTTTGTTGTTTTTGAGGGCTTTCGTGGGGTGTTGTGAGGTTTTGTAGGCTTTGTCGGTAAGACTGCCCCCCGAAAAGGCGCCCGTCTCTGCTCTCTAGTCGTTTTGGTAGGAGCCTTTTCAATTTTCAATGATTGCGACTTCAGCTTGCAACATGGGGCAGGCTGTGGGTTTGACCGCAATCATTTGACAGGGAACGGGGTTTCATTGCATCTGCAGCAGGACGAGGTCGATGGCGAATAGCTCTCGGTCCGACAGGCAGTTCCTGGAATCTAAGGGCTTCTTGCACCCGTCTACTGTAGAGGTCCTGAGAAAATGCGGGTCATCAGTCAGTGAAATTGACAGCACCGTCCTCTGACAACCCTGCCCCCTTGGCACAGTGTGTTTGTCGCTGTCTCAAGTCTTTGCTCTCACCGTCTCTATCTTTGATCTCGGTTTGCACCCCTACACCTTCCCCTTTCTACGTATATGCATCTCTAGATATGAACATAAGACTTCAAACAAACAAGAGAAAGTTTCGACGTGTATATGCATAACATATACACACACATGCATGTTTGTACCTGTCTGTGTGTACATATGCATGTATGCATGTATGTCTATGTATATGTCTATGTATCTGTGTATGTGTATGTGTATTTGTATGTGTACGTTATGTGTACGTGTACGTGTATGCAGGTTTAGATGTATATGTGTATGTATGTATGGATGTATCTCTTATGTATGTATGTATGTATGTATGTATGTATGTATGTGTGTTTGTATGTACAAAAGTATGTACCTCGGCCAGTCGGTTTGTCTGTGCGTCCGTCAGCATGGCTGTCTGTATGCATGCACGTATGTATGTGTGTATACATGTATGTAGGCGCATATGTACGCACGCATGTACATGTGTACGTATGTACTGTCTCTCCGTCTGTCTGTCTCTGTCCCTGTCCCTGTCTCAGTCTGCGTCTGTTCTGTGTCTGTGTCCGTGTCTGCGCTTGGTGTTTCTGTCCGTCTGTCTGTCTGCCTGACCATGTGCATGCATTCCTGCCTTCCTTCATGTGTGCATACATGGATTCATGTATGTATGTATGTATTTACGTATTTGCGTATGTATACAAAGCACGTTCGCACATGTTGTATACATATACATATATAGATACATATATATATATATATATATATGTATATGTATATATGTATATTCATCCAAGGGGTGTGCAAATGGACAGGTGTATATGTTGTTCTATACTATACCCGTAGACTTACACGAAAAGAACCTCCTTCACTGCATAACTGCATGACAGAGTGATATGAGGAGGCACAAGTAGAAATTGAAATGGTTTGACTTTAACAATGATGTCCCTTGAGAGTCCTGCTACATCTATGCGATAGGATGTCAGTACCCCCAACCCTTGTTGCGCCTGATGAAGACAGCCAGAGTAGCAGCTGCTGAGGTGCATGACACCGAGTTTGCCTCCACCAGCTATGTGAACTACAGCTCCATGGCGGTGTACATCATTTTCACGGCCTCCCAGCTGCGCATCGGGGTCCGGGTCTCGCAATTTCAGTTTTTTTGTTTTTTTGACGGGTGGTGGGGGGGGTCTAGGTTCTCAGCGCGGCCGGGGTTGGAAAAAGGTGGCTTCATGCTTAGAATCGAGTTTGGGGGTAGTACAGAGGACAAGATATCTTGGGGTTGTTCGAAAGCCTTCTGTTGGAGATAAGGGTTGCAACCGAGTTTCAGGCTTCCTTTGCAAGGGTGTTGTTGAAAGAGAAAGA